ATATAGACCAATGGAACAGAACAGAGGCTTCGGAGGCAACACAACACATCTACAACCATCCGATCTTTGACAAACCTGACAAAAACAAGCAATGGGGAAAGGAGTCCCTGTTTAATAAATGGTGTTGGGAAAACTGGCTAGCCATGTGCAGAAAGCAGAAACTGGACCCTTCCTGACACCTTACATTAAAATTAACTCCAGATGGATTAAAGACTTAAAGATAAGACCTAACACCATAAAAGCCCTAGAAGAAAATCTAGGCAAAACCATTCAGGACATAGGCGTAGGCAAGGACTTCATGACCAAAGCACCAAAAGCATTGGCAACAAAAGCCAAAATAGACAAATGGGACCTAATCAAACTCCACAGCTTCTGCATGGCAAAAGTAACAGTCATTAGAGTGAATCGGCAACTAACAGAATGGGAAAAAGTTTTTGCATTCTACCCATCTGACAAAGGGCTGATACCCAGAATCTACAAAGAACTAAAACAGATTTACAAGAAAAAAACAAGCCCATTCAAAAGTGGGTGAAAGATATGAACAGACACTTTACAAAAGAAGACATACCTGAGGCCAACAAACATATGAAAAAATGCTCATCCTCACTGGTCATTAGAGAAATGCAAATCAAAACTACATTGAGATACTATCTCACGCCAGTTAGAATGGCGATCATTAAAAAATCTAGACAACAGATGCTGGAGAGGATGTGGAGAGATAGGAACACTTTTACACTGTTGGTGGGAGTGTAAATTAGTTCAACCATTGTGGAAGACAGTGTGGCGATTCCTCAAGGACCTAGAAATAGAAATTCATTTGACCCAATCCTATTACTGGGTATATATCCAAAGGATTATAAATCGTTCTACTATAAGGACACATGCACACGAATGTTCATTTCAGCACTGTTTATGATAGCAAAGACCTGGAACCAACCCAAATGCCCATTGATGATAGAGTAGACAGGGAAAATGTGGCACATATACACCATGGAATATTATTCAGCCATCAAAAATGATGAGTTTGTGTCCTTTGTAGGGACATGGATGAACCTGGAAACCATCATTCTCAGTAAACTGACACAAGAACAGAAAATCAAACACCACATGTTCTCACTCATAGGTGGGTGTTGAACAATGAAAACACATGGACACAGGGAGGGGAGCATCACACACTGGTGTCTGTCAGGGGTAAATAGGGGAGGACAGTGAGGGATGGGGAGTTGGGGAGAGATAGCATGGGGAAAAATGCCAGATATAGGTGATGGGGAGGAAGGCAGCAAATCACACTGCCATGTGTGTACCTATGCAACAATCTTGCATGTTCTTCACATGTACCCCAAAACCTAAAATGCAATAAAAAATTTAAAAAAAACAGACATAAAACTAGAAAATTTACAAACTTATGAAAATAACCAATAAATCAAAGAAGAAATTTAAATGCAAATCAAAACAAAGCACACCAAAATTTATGGTCTTGTGCCTTAAGGCAGTACTTAGTAGAAATTTATAGCTTACATGTTTACATTAAAACAGAAAGATGTCAAACTCAACTTTAAAATTTATAGAACTAGAAAAAGAATAAATAAACCCAAAGCTAGCATAAAAAAGGAAATTTAAAAGATGAGCACAGAGATCAACAGAGTAGAGAACAGAAAAATGACAAGAAAATTAATAAAACCAAAAGCTGGTTCTTTGATTATAACAAACATTTAGCTAGATGGACTTTAAAAATGAGGCCAGTTGCAGTGGCTTACATCTGTAATCCCAGCACTTTGGGAGACTGAGGTTGGTGGATGACTTGAGCCCAGGGGTTTGAGATCAGCCTGGGCAACATAGTGAGACTCCATCTCTAAAAAAAAATTTTTTTTTATTAACTGGGTATGATGGTGTACCCCTGTAGTCCCAGCCACTCAGAAGGGTGAGGTGGGACAATTGCTTAAGGCTGGGATGTCCAGGCTGCAATAAGCCATGATCAGGCTACTGCACTCCAGCCTGAGAGACAGAGCGAGACCCCGTCTCAAAAAAGAAAAAAAAAAAAAAAAAAAAAGAAGAAGAAGAAGACATGAATTACCAAAATCAGAAATGAAAGTGGGGACATTATTACTGATTCTACAGATATAAAAAGGATTATAAGAGAGTGTGAAGAACAATTGTATGTCAACAAATTGAAAAACCCACATGAAAAGGACAAATTCCTAGAAACACAAAATCTATCAAGATTAAATTATGAAGAAACAGAGAATCTGAGTAGACCTATAAAGAATAAGGAAATTGAATCATTAATTAAAAATCTCCAGATTTGGGGACATCAGCAAAGCCCTAGATCTAGACTGGGCATGGTGGGTCATGCCTGTAATCCCAGCACTTTGGGAGGCTGAGACAGGCAGATCACTTGAGGCCAGGAGTTCAAGACCAGCCTGGCCAATGTGGTAAAACACTGTCTCTACTAAAAATACAAAAATTAACCAGGTGTGGTGGCACGTGCCTGTAATTTCAACTACTTGGATAGCTGTGGCACAAGAATCCCTTGAACCCAGGAGGTGAACATTGCAGTGAGCTGAGATCACACCACTGCACTCCAGCCTGGGTGACAGAGCGAGACTGTCTCAAAAAAAGAAAAGAAAAGAAAAGAAAAGCCCTGAATCTAATGGCATCACTGGTGAATTCCACCAAACATTTAAAGAACTAATACCAATCCTTCTCAAACTTTTCCAAAAAACTGAAGAAGAGAAAACATTCCCTGACTCTTTCTATGAGATCAGCGTTACTCTGCTACTAAAGCCAAAAATATATACTACAAGAGAAGAAAACTACAAGCTAATATCCTTTATGAACACTGATGCAAAAATCCTCAACAAAATACCAGCAAACTGAACTCGGCAGCGCATTAAAAGAATTACACATCATAGCCCAGTGAGATTTATTCCTGGAATGAAAGGATGGTTCAACCTTTGAAAATCCATTATTATAATACACCACATTAACAGGCTTTTGTGGGGAGAAAAATCACTTGATCTTCTCAATGATATAGAAAAAGCATTTGACAAAATTCAACACCCTTTTATGATTAAAAAAATACACATTAAGCTAGAAATAGAAGGACTATTATCTCAATGTAATAAAAGCTATATATGAAAAACCCATAGCAAATATTGTAATCAATGGTGAAAGACTAAAAACTTTTCCTCTAAGATCAGGAACAAGATAAGGATGCCAATTTTCACCACTTCTATTCAACATAGTACTGGAAGTTCCAGCCAAAGAATTAGGCAAGAAAATGAAATAAAAATCACCTAAGTTGAAAGGAGGATGTAAAATATCTACTATTTTACATTCCCACTAACAGTACACAAGAGATCCAATTGCTCCACATCCTCAAAACACTTATTGTCTTTTTTCTTTTTTTTTTTTTAATAGCCATCTGCAGAGCACAGTGGCTCATGTTTGTCCCAGCACTTTGGGAGGCTGAGATGGGAGGATTGCTTGAGCCCAGGAGTTCGAGATCAGCCCAACTCCCTTGTCAGATGGGTTGGTGAGGTTGTGGCTGTAACAGCCTCGAAGGAAGAGGTGGCCCCCCATAAGAGAGAAAGGGACATTTACTCTTCTGATGATCCTCTTATTTGCAATGAGGCAGAGACAGCAGAGAGTATTCTCTGTCTGCCCATGCAGGCAGAGGAAAGGCCATGTGAGAACGCAATGAGAAGGTGGCCATCTCCTGCCAAGAGGAGAGCCCTCACCAGACACCAGCCCCAACACCACCTTGATCTTGGACTTCTAGTCTCCATAACTGTGAGAAAATAAATGTCTGTTGTTTAGGCAAAACAAAAAATTAATTCATAATGAATCAAAAACCTACATTGAGAGCTATACTGTGTAACTCTTGACAGTTGTAATCTAGTTTTAGAACCCTCCTATCACTCTAAAAAAGCTATCTCATGCTTATTTGCAGCTCATCGCTCTTCCACCCCTAGTCTGAGATAACCACTGATTTCCCTTCTGACTCTATAGTTTTGCCCTTTCTAGAAATTTCATGTAAGTGGAATTATACAATACGTAGTTATGCATTGTCTGGCTTCTTTCATGAGGTTCACCTACATTGTGGCATGTATCACGACTTTGTTCCTTTTTATTGTCAAGGGTTGTATGGATACAGCAATTTTATTTATCCATTTACCAGCTGATGGACTTTCACACTGTTTCCAATTTGGGGCTATTGTGAATAATGCTGCCATGAACACTTGAATATAAATATACAATTTTTTGAATTGTATTATTACAGTGTTAATCATCAGATTTTAACAATTTGCCATTATAGTAATTCATCAGCATTGTCAGTTTGCTCCTGTGGTCACTATACTGAATATCTGTAATTCTAAATAGATGCTCATATTCATCGGAGGTGGGTACCAGAGCAAAATATTTTTTTGGCTTTCTCTGCCATTTAGACACTGCTTATGGTGATGTTGCTACCATGCTATTGAACTTTTCTTTCTCTTTAATAGTACCTGATCAAGGGAAAAACATCTTCTTTCATTCTTGATTAAAGCTTAAGTTGATGGTAACAGTACATTTTCATTATGGCAGTTTTACAAACTGAAGCTTAGTGCACTGCTGAAAGAAAATGCTTTATGACTATTTTCTTTTTTTTTTTTTTTCTTTTTTGAGATAGGGTCTCACTGTGTCACCCAAGCTGGAGTGTGGCAGTGGCCCAGTCATAGCTCACGGTAACCTCAAACTCCTGGACTCAAGCGACCCTCCTGCTTCAGCCACCTGAGTAGTTGGACTACATATGTACCACCCCACACCAGGCTAAATTTTTAATTTTTTGTAGAGATAGAGTCTTGCTTTGTTGCTAACACTGGCCTTAAACTCTTGTCCTCAAATGATCCTCCTGGCTCAGCCTCCCAAACTATTCAGAGGCCAGGCATGGTGGCTTACTCCTGTAATCTTGCTGGAATGACAGGTGTGAGCCACTATGCCTGGCCTCTAATATTTTCAAAATCAGATTTAAGATAATTGTCCTCAAATATAATTTTATTTACAATATTTTTCCAATGTACTTGCTGCTTCAAACAATCACTTGAGAAAATATTTGACTTTAAATCCTAAATCTTGAAATAGAATATGATGGAATTATATAATTTAAATTCTGAATTTACATCTGTATTAGTCAGAGTTCTCTAAAGGGACAGAACTCGTAGGATATATGTATATACAAAGGGGAGTTTATTAGGATAATTGACTCATATGATCACAAAGTGAAGTCCCACAATAGGCCATCTGCAAGCTGAGGAGTGAGGAAGCCCGTCTGAGTCCCAAAACCTCAAAGGTAGGGAAGCAGATAGTGCAGCCTTCAGTCTGTGGCCAAAGATCCGAGAGCCCCTAGTAAATCACTAGTGTAAGTCCAAGGGTCCAAAAGCTGAACAATGAACAACTTGGTAGTCTGATGTTTGAGGGCAGGAAGCATCCAGCACGGGAGAAAGATGAAGACCAGAAGACTCAGCAAGTCTGCTCTTTCCAACTTCTTCTGCCTGCTTTATTCTAGCTGCACTGGCAGTTGATTAGATGGTACCCACCCAGATTGAGGGTGGGCCTGCCTCTCCCAATCCACTGACTCACATGTTAATCTCCTTTGGCCGTACCCTCACAGACACATCCAAGAACAACACTTTGCATTCTTTGATCCAATCAAGTTGATGCTTAATATTAACCATCACATCTGCATCTCAGGTTTTACTGCATGCTCATCAGTTTCACAACTGTCACTAGAATAAGCTGATAGGAGGATCTTTACAACAGCTTTCAGTGAAAGGAATATTGCCCTCACAAGATAACCGAGTTGATTATGTCTACAGCAGGTTCCAGCCAGTAAACTCTTTTCTCTGCAAATCACATGGGTTGTTATGCTGCTACAGTGATCTGCAAAGTAAAAGGTCAAGGCTTTATTTTGCTATTTAAGTGGCCTTCCTAATATGTCATAAGTGTTGCGTTATCTTCTGTGAACATCTCAAATAAGTACACGACAAGGCGAAGGCAATTCCACAGTATCTTGTATATCACATAGTTTGCTTTTGCTGAAGAATATGGAAAAGATCTACTCTCTTTCTGTTTATTGCCAGTAAACCATCGTGCTATCTTATATTTTAAAAAGACTTCTGGTTGTTTCTTCATGTCCAAGTGTCTGATATAGAGGGTATAAAAGTAGCACATTTAATAATATCATTAACCTTCTTATACACAGCAGACTTTAATTCTAGAAACTGCTTTTAGTAACACATTTTATAGAAGGAACTTTATATCTTCATCAAATGTCAAAAATCCTTCATCTACCACTAAAAATAGTTGGCAGTCTATAGCAATATTTTTATCAAGCTTTCTATTTAAATTTTTGCATAGACTCAAGAGTAAAAGGAACTATCTTCTTGAAACACTTTTTAAAAGCCTGTTGTTTTGAAATTTGATTAGTGAAAACAGAATGGGTTTGAGATACCTCATTTTTCTCGGAACTTTGTTTATTCGTTGTTTATATCCTATCTTAATCAAAGCTGTTTCAACATGGTGGTTTTCTACGTCATTTTAGAGTTTTCCTCCTTATTAACTCTGGGGTGGCAAAGTTGATATTCTCCTTTGAAGTCATCCTCAACAAGATGTAAACAATTCTCAAATAGGACCTTTTTTTTTAAAGACTCTCTCAAATAGGACTTTTTTTTTAAAGACTCAAAGCTAAATGATACTAAATATCTAAAAATTAAATATTGTTTTTGAAGATTTCATTGAATGTTATGAATGCTAAAATACCAAGCAAGTCTACAAAGATTATAATTCTATTATCACTCCTAATTTTTTAAGAACATTTTTGTTTTTAAGAAGCTGTTTATTTTTTTATTTTTTGAAGAGGGAATATATTTAGATGGTTTAAAAAGTCAAAGTAATGCAAAGGGTTCACCCTGAGTATATTTACTTTCATCCCAACTTCCCTCTCCCTCCTCTATAGTTGACTAGTTTTATAATTTATTGAGGATCTTTCCAGTATTAAATAGTGAATATAGAAAATCCAAATATGTATTTTTATTACCCCCTTTATTGCACAGGATTGCGTTTTGCATAAGATACACTTTTTCTATTTTTTACTTTGCTTTCTTCATTCAGTATATTCTAGAGATCTTTTCACATCAGTATAAAGAGCAATTTTCATTCATTTTTATAGCTGCCTATTAGTCCATTCTGTAGGCTGTATCTTAAGAGTATTTAACTAGGTCCATTTGGATCTTTTCCAATGTTTTGTTGTTATAACCAATGCTGCCATGCATGACCTTGAACACAAGTTATTTCATGCATGTGAAGTATATTTGATGTAAGTTTCCAGAAGTGGGATTACTGGTCAGAGGGTAGAAACGTGTAATTTTGAGAGATATTTCCAAATTGCTTTACGTAGGATTATAATCTTTGGGACTCCAATAAGCAATGCATAAGAGTTTTTTGCCAAAATTATGTGTCATCAAACATTTGGATTTTTTTAACCAAGCTCATAGATGATAAATGGCATGTCAATTTTGTTTTAATTTGCAGATCTCATATTTTGAGTGAAATTGAGCATCTTCTATGAGTTTAAAGTCATTTGTATTTCTTTTTCTGAGAATTATCTGTTCATATCCTTTGCCTATTTTTATATTGGGTTGTCTTTTTGTCTTGATTTCAATGAAATCCTTATATCTTTAAAAAGCAAAGAGGGGGTGGGCATGATGACACTTTGGGAGGTGTGATGACACTATTGATTTCAGAATATTTATTTTATATTAGCAACCTTACAAGGTAGGTAGATCACTTGAGGTCAGGAGTTCAAGATCCCGTCTTTACTAAAAACACAAAAATTAGCTAGGCATAGTGGTGTTCATTTATAATCCCAGCTACTCAGGAGGCTGAGGCAAGAGAATCGCTTGAACCTGGGAGGCGGAGGTTGCAGTGACCCAGGATTATGCCACTGCACTCCAGCCTGGGTGACAGAGCGAGACTCTGTCTCAAAAACAAAAACAAAAACAAAAAACCCTTCTTCAGTCTTATGAAATGCAAAAACATTTCCTATTTTTCTCTGCCTTATAACTACTTTTGTGTCATCAGAATCTTTTTGTGTAGTAAAATATATAAATCTCTTTTTATTTGGTTCTGGACTTTGAATCATAGAAAGGCCTTCCTCACTCCAATGTTACAAAGAAATTTGTCCATATTTTCTTCTACTACTTTTGAGGGTTTTTTTTTTTTCTATAAAAATCTTTGCTACATTTGGAGTTTATCTTGATGAATAGTGTGGGCTATGGATCCAACTTTATCTTTTCCAGATAGATACCCAGTTATCACAACACAATTTATTGACATTGAGATGCCTCCTTTATAATAAACTAAATTTCCCTATGCTAGTCAACCTTTTCTGTACTTTTATTTCTGTTTCTTTGTCTGTGTGTCTATTCATGTACCAAAACCATACCATTTCAATAGTATCTTTATGGTCAGACTAATCTCCTTCAATTGCTCTTCTTTTCAGACTCTTTCTACCCATTCTTTTCTTTTTTACTCTTTATTTGCAATAAATTCAAATTCACAAATTGTTGCAAACACAAAAGTAGTACAAAAATAGCCACATATCCTTTACCCAGGATCACACTTGTTAATATTTGTTTTGTAGTTTCATCTTCTCTTCTTCTCCTCTTTCATACATAACTTTTTTGCTGACCCATCTAAGGATAAATTTCATACATCATGGCCTTTACCCCTCAGTTCCCTAAGTGTGCATTTCCTAAAACTAGGGATATTCTTGTACATAATCATAGCACAATGACCAACCTCATGAATTTACATTGATGAATTTACAATACTTGTATCTATTCGACCATTCATGTTTTCATTTTGCCCTTTGACCCAATACCCTTATTGACCCAATATCCAATACCCAATGCTACCCTTTTTAGCATTTCTCCCACCTCCAATACAGGATTTAATCTAGTGCCCAGCATTACATTTAGTTTATATCTATTCTTGCTGGTTTCATTTGAGAAAAACACTTGATATTTTTATTGAGATTCTATTTAAAATATTTAATTAATTTAGGAAGAACTAACATCTTTGTAATGTAATGCTGAGTCTTCCTGTTCAAGAACGCTTTATACTTTTCTAGTCTCATCTACTTTTTTATTCTTTGGCAAAGTTTTAATTTTCCTTATGTAGATTTGCACATTTTTGTTAAATTTATACCTGCAATTCTCTTTTTTGCCCTATTATATGTAGTCTTCTATTATGTCTTCTAATAAGCTGTGAAACTATTGATTTCAGAATATTTATTTTATACTAGTGACCTTACAAAGTTTTCTGTTTATAGCAGTTTTCAGTTGTAACTCTAATTTTTTGGCCTGTATTATTATTTATAATTTAAATGCTTATTGAATCAAAAGAAATAAAAATGTGCTCCTGAATTATCTCACGTACGTTTTTAAGGTTTATATTAGTTCAGTCTATTCCGCCTATTTACTTAAAATCTCTTTTTTTGAGAAAGAGAGAGAGAGGGTCTCGCTGGGTCACCCAGGCTAGAATACAGTGGTGCAATCATAGCTTGAGCCCTCCTGGGCTCAAGTAATCCTCCCTCGTCAGCCTCCCAAGTAGCTGGGACCACAGGCATGTGCCACCACACCCAGCTAATTTAAAAATTTTTTTTTATTTCATAGATATGAGGTCTCCCTATGTTGCCCAGGCTGGTCTCAAACCCCTAGACTCAGGCAATCCTCCTACCTCAGCCTCCCAAATTACTAGGATTCCAGGCATGAGTCACCATGTTTAAAGTCTCTTAGCAAATTTTTGATATTTAAAATTAACAGTTTTTATAGTCATCATTAATTATCTCATAATTTCACTCTTGCAATAATACTTTAAAGTATAATAAAATGTCAACACATAAAAAGCATATAATGAATGCTATTTTCACTTCAAGTTGCATCTAGCATGCTTACTTGTATTTGCAATGAATATTCAGATGTCAGCTGTAATTCTTAATGACACACCTCATTTGTCTTATTAGCATTGCTAAACACATTATTTGATGGTAACATATAATTTTGAGGGTAGCTGACACTGGCATCTTCTAACCTGGGGAGTGGGGTCTCCGCAGACAGTACTGTAAGCAGGGACAGAGGCTCCATAAATTAGAATCAGGCAGTGACAGGAGGAGAATGTGTCCCGCAAACAAGCAGGTCCATATGGGAGAAAACCTGTTGTAAACAGGGAAACATGGAATGATCCTTGGGGCTACCAACAGTATTCTGTGCTTCAGCTGTAGATCTGTGACCAAGATTCAACAGTAACAGAAAAATGGATAGTGAGTAGGTTTCATGTAAACGACACATCCTGCCCTTGGCATTCTTCTGTTCCTTGCCTCTATTCTCTCTTGAACCTACTTCAACCAAACTTTTGCACCCACCATTTCACAGAAACATCACATATGAAGGTCACCAATGACTTCCATGTTACTAAATCAATTCTCTATTTACTTGACTTACCAGGAGTTTGTGAAATTTTGATAACACATTTCTTCTTGAAGTACTTTAAAAATTGTATTATACTTCCAAGACACCACACTTTCATGACTGTCCTCCTGCCTCCATGGCCAGTGGTTCTCAGGCTAGGAATGCTAGATTTAACAAACAAAAATACAGTTAAGCCTGAATTTCAGATAACGTAACTTTTTGTGTAAGCATATGCCAAATATTGCATCAGATAATTATGTGCTAAAAATTATTTGTTTAAAATTTAACTAGATGTCCTTTATTTCATTTGGTAGCCCTATATCTGTCTCTTTTTCTGGATTCCTCCTTATCTCCACAACTTCTGTTCATCTATACTCACTCCCTAAGTGATCTCATACTATCTTGAGGCTTTAAAAACTATCTCTTTGGTGAAGACTTTCAAATTTGTATCAACAGTCTAGACCCCTCCTTTTCACTCCAAATTTATATGTATGTCTACTGACATCTCCTCTTTGATATCCAGTGGACATCTCAACTTAACACATCCAAAAGAAAGCTTTATTTTATTTATTTATTTTTATTTATTTACTTAGATGGAGTTTTGCTCTGTCGCCCAGGCTGGAGTTCGATGGTGCATTCTCAGGTCACTGCAACCTCCGCCTCCTGGGTTTAAGTGATTCTCCTGGCTCAGCCTCCCAAGTAGCTGGGACTACAGGCACACACCACCGCACCTGGCTAATTTTTTTTATTTTTTGGTAGAGATGAAGTTTCACCATGTTGTCCAGGCTGGTCTTGAACTCCTGGCCTCAAGCAATCTGCCAGCCTTGGCCTCCCAAAGTGCTGGGATTACAGGTGTGAGCCACTGCACTTGGCCCCAAAACTGAACTTTGATCTCCTTCAAAGAATCCTGCTCCTTCTGCAGTCTTCCCCACCTCAGAAAATGGCAATTTTTATCCTTCCAGTTGCAAAGGCCCCAAACCATAGGGTCATCATCGATTATCCTCTTTTTTCTATGCTCCATCTCCATGTCTTCAGCAGCAAATCCTTTTGCCTTCTTCTTCAAAATATATCCCCAAATGAATCACATCTCCAGAATCTTCTCATCTGTAATACAGAAACATCTTCCTAGATAGTCTCGCTGCTCCTCCCTAGAGTCTACAGTTTATTCTCAAAACTGAAGCAGGAATGAATCTAAGCCGGTCCCTTAAGCTCAGATCCCTCCAGTGCTTTCCCATCTCTCTGCTAATAAAAGGAAAAGTCTTACAACCACCTGTAAGGCCTGTACAAATCTGGCATTCCATGACTTATCTGATCTCTCTAAATTCTCTCTGCCTTGCTAACACTACTAAAGCAATCCTGCCCTTTTCCTGTTCTTCAGACCACCCAGGCACCCTCCCACTTAGGAGCCTCTGTGCTTGCTGTTTTCTCTGCCTGAAATAGTCTTCCTCTGGATAGCTGCATGGGTCACTCTCTCACCTCCTACTGCTCTCTTCTCAAATACTATGCTTTCAATGTGGCATTCTCTGATCACCCAGTATTAAATTGCAAGCACTCTCCACCTCAGCACTCCATAATTACCATCCTTGTTTTATTTTCCTTTGAAACTTATCATCATGTATATTAGTCTGTTTTATGCTGCTACAACAGAATACCTGAGATGGGCAATTTATAAACAATAGAAGTTTATTAGGCTCATAAATATGGAGGCTGAGAAGCCCAAGAGCATGGCACAAGACTCTGGTAATGACCTTTGTGCTGCACCATTCCATGACAGAGGCAGAAGGGCAAGAGAGTATGTGTGAGAATGAGACAGCAAGAGAGCCAAACTCTTTTTTTTTTAAGATAGAATCTCACTCTGTCACCCAGACTGGAGTGCAGTGGTGCAATCTCAGTTCACTGCAATGTCTGCTTTCCCAAATTCAAGCACTTATCATGCCTCAGCCACCAGAGTAGCTGGGACTACAGGCATGCACCATCACGCCCAGCTAATTTTTTGAATTTTTAGTAGAGATGGGGTTTCACCATGTTTCCCAGGCAGGTCTCAAACTCCTGAGCTCAGGCAATCCACCTGCTTTGGCTTCTCAAAGTGCTGGGATTACAGTCATGAGCCACCATGCCCAGCCCAAACTCACTTTTATAACAAGCCCACTCCTGCAATAATAACTCACTCATGTGACAATGGCATTAATCCATTCACAAGCGCAGAGCCTGCTGCTGGCCTAATCGCCTATTATGCTCCACCTCCCAACACTGTTGCATTAAGGAATAAGTTTCCAACACACGGCTGGGCGCCATGGCTCACACCTATAATCCCAGCACTTTGGGAGACCCAGGTGGGAGGATTGCTTGAGTCCAAGAGTTTGAGATCAGACTGGGCCATATAGTGAGACCTCATCTCTACAAAAAATTTAAAATTAGCTGAGCATGGTGGCATGCAACTTTAATTCCAGATACTTAGGAGGCTGAGGTGGGAGAAGCTCTTTAGCCTGAGAAGTGGAGGCTGCAGTGCACCTAGATCATGCCACTGCACTCCAGCTTGGGCAACAGAGTGAGAGCCTGTCTCAAAAAAAATTTTCCAACACATGAACCTTGGGGGACATATTCAAAACAAAGCTCCATCCAACATACCGTAGGTTTTATTTATTTATTTATTTTTTTGTCTGTTTCTCCAAAAATGTAAGCCTGAGGAAGACAGGAATTTTTACCTATTTTGTAAACTGATGTATCTCTAGTACCTATATGTGGCATGTGGTGTCTTCAAAGTCTGGTACTTGGTAGGCATTCAGTAAATAGAATAAATAGTTGTTGAATGAATGCATAAATGAATGAATGAATGAAACTAAAGAATATGCATAAAGCTGCTGTCACCAGGTGACACATTATTAAGAAATCCCAGAACAAAGGAAGCAATAAAGAAAAGATGAGTTTGGGGCGGGGGTAGGGGGAGGGGGATGAAATGCTTGGTCTTGGCGGAAAGGAAGGCAGAGGGACCGTGGCTATCTTTTCCTTTCTTTCAAGCTACTAAGAAAAGGCGGGAGCTGTCCAGCATTGACCTTCTGAAGCTGGAGTGCCACTGCAGGGACGAAAGCCTGCTTTCCTAACCCAGACCAGGGTCACTTCATTGCCATCTTTCTTATCAAACACATCTTTATTCTGTGTGCTTCTGCTTCCCAGTCCTTTTCCCTTTACTCAAATTTGCCCAGAAAGCCCATGAGCTACATGAAATCTTATTGTTCCCATCCTTTTCAAAAAGCACTACTCACTCACTCCAGTAACTTCCATGTCATAAAGGTGATGACTGGGATCACAGAAACAGTGTCTTCATAAATGTATCCATTGAAATGTGTTTGGCATTTCCTTTGTGTGTATCTCTCAAAAATCAGTTTTTCAAATTTGGCTAAAAGCCAAGATTTGGGGCTCAATTGTCCAGGAAATTTCTTTTTTTTTTTTTTTTTTTTTTTTTTTTTTT